GGGAAAGAAACAAAGAAAATAGAGTGAATTGGAACAAAACTTCTGATCCCCAAGAAGCAGAAATTAAAATATATCTAACTAACAACAGCTAACAATTATGTAAAACTAGTTATATGTCAGATACTTAATCTAAGTGGTAGTTACTCACTAACAAACATCTCTCTGAGGAAAAATTCAAAACAAACCTCTAATATCCCATGAATTAATGGAAAATAATGGTAGAATTCTATGTAAGCAAGGACATCGAACCAAGGAGAGTTTGGAGTGAGATCTAGAGAAAGATTAGCAAAGAAGCTAAGTAATGCTGCTCTCAGAACTTTCTTTGAGAGTTTCCAGCAGTGGGAATGGGGGTGGGGACAATGAGAACAAAGTTTATTGTATTTTTTAAATAATTTTGTTATTTTGTGTGTGTGTGTGTGTGTGTGCTGTCAAATCAGATCTGACTGGTACAGGAAGAGATTGACCCTCCTTTTCCAGCAGAACATCTGGTGGATTCAAACTGCGTACCTCTGGGATTGCAGTGCAGCTTCTTGCCACTAGGCCACCATTGCTCAGGTTATTTTATTTAAGTATAAGTAATTAGTATTTTCTAGAAGCCACTACATGCTTGAATTAGAAGAAACCTTAGATAATATCTACTCTAGTGGTTTTCAAAAAAATTTAAGGGAAGGACCTTTTATGCAAGCCAAATCATAAGTGTGGCCCCTGTCCACTTTGTCCTAGGTGCATGCTGTGAGTTGGAATGTACTTGATAGTAGTGGTCATGGTTTGGTTTTATTGATATGTAATTTACACACCACAAAATTCACCCAATTCAGTGTTAGTACATTCACAGGTTGTGAAACCATCACCACAATCTAAATTCCACAATAAAAAGAAACTTGGAAGGGGAGCTCTGGTGGCCTAGTGGCAAGAAGCTGCACTGCAATCCCAGAGAAACACGGTTCGAATCCACCAGATGCTCTGCCGGAGAAGGAGGCGCAATATCCTCCTGTACCAGTCAGATCTGATTTGACGGTACACGCACGCAAAATAAAAAAAAAAAAAAAAGAAACTTGGACTCATTAGCTTCATTTCCCCCTTATTCCAACCATTGGCAACCACTAATCCACCTTATATCTCTATGGCTTTGTCTATTGACAGTTCCTATATAAGGATTCATACAATATATGGTGCTTTGATACTTACTTATATTTTATGATAATTTTCAGGCCAGAGAATATCACTGTCCGCTCCATAGTGCAAGACATCCAGTCTGCCTTAAAGACCCCAGCTAAGAATTGAGGATCTTAAGCCTGTCATGAGTGGCTAGTCAGGACAGGGAGACCCCAGTGGTCCGAAGCTATAGGTTGCTGGCACTGAGCACCAGAAGTGTTGTGTGCTATAGAGTCAGAACTAACCCATAGCTAAATTTCTGGTGGCTTCTCAGAGGCAGTAAATTGCAAGGGAAGAAGAGATTTCCCATCCTTCTCTCACAGAGCAGCTGGTGGATTTGAACAATGAGCCTTTGGGACTGCCCCCTAAATAGATGTCAAGGTTTACAGTTAAAATTATAACTAAAGAATTCTAAATTTCCCTAAGTCAGTCAACACGCTGCCGTTAGATAACATTGGGAATTAGACTTATAAAGGGGAAAATGAACTTGTTAGATAATAGTTACTTGACTTTAAGCCTCAGTTTTCTTATCTGTAAAATGATAGTAATGGTATTGATTTTGCAGGTATTTGTGAGGCTTAGAGATAATGAAAGTGCCCATGTGGACCTGAAATGCAATGAATTTTGGTTAAATTGCTATCTCTGTTTGTCAAACAGTATAGCTTGGTGGGAAGAAAGTGGCCTTCAGAAACAGCAGATCTGAATGGGAGATGGTGATTCAACTCAATATCCCTCAATATCATGGAAAGAGAACCCATTTTATAAGGCATTCAGAAGATCAATACTTACTACCAAACAATCACTATAACCAGGTTCTAGTGTAAGTCCTGCTACAACGTGTGTTATGTATATGACACAACTTTGCTTTCCAAAACTGAGAAGGATCTGAAGTGTTTGCTGCAGAAGATCAAGGTCTGTAGTCTTCAATATGATTGCAGCTTAGCATCAAGAAAACGAAGATTCTCACCATCAGATCAATTGGCAGCATCATGATAGATGGAGAAGAGACTGAGATTGTTAACACTATCTTCTTGCTCGGATCTACAATCAACATTCTTGGCACCAGCAGTCAGGAAATCAAAAGATGAGTTGCATTAGGAAAGTCTGCTGTCAGGGACCTCTCCAGAGTACTAAAGAGCAATGATCAGACAGTCCAGAGACCAAGGTGCATCTGATTGAGGCCATGGTCTTTTCAATCACTTCCTATACATCTGAAAGCTGACTAATGAATAAGGATAGCAAAAGAAGAATTGATGCTTTTGAACTGTAGTGTTGGAGAAGATGCTAAATATCCCATGCCCTGCTAAAGGAACAAACATATATGTCTTGGATAAAGTGCAGCCACAATGCTCCTTGGAGGCAAGGATAGCAAAAGCTTTGTCTCACATACTTTGGGAATGTTGCTAGGGATATTCCTTGGAGAGGGATATCATACTTAGAAAGTTGGGAGGCAATGAAAGAGAAGAAAACCCTCAATACAATGGACTGGCACAGTGACTGCAGCAATGGGCTCAAGTGTGTCAGAGATGATGTGTTTGACACAAAATAGGTCGTTCTGTTGTTCATAGGGTTGATATGAGTTATGCTCTCCTTGACAGCGCCTAACAACAACATGAACACATTTAATCCTTTCATAAACATACAAAGTAGGTGCCATTATTTCCCTAATGTATATCTGAGGAGAAACTCAAACTCAATTCCAATTCATAATGTACTTCCATTGGGTTTCCAAGGTTGTAAATCACAACAGGAGACTATCCATCTTTTTCCTGTGAAGCTATTGGTGGGTTTGAACCTCTAGAGACATGCATGCAGCCTTTGAATTAGCAGCACAACTCGCTACAGACTACACCATGAATTGAGGCACAAATTATGTGACTTGCCCAAGGTCACCCTTGTCAATGAATTTGAACCCAAGTATTCTGTCTCTATCTAGTACTCACATTGTACACTCTTTAAACTGACAAGGTTTTTTTTTTCTTTCAGCACAGTGTCTGACACAAAATAAGTCCTCAATAAATAGCAACTAATTTAACTGTGAAATACTAATAACATATATGTTTCAACAGCAATATTGGGTTAAGGGATTGGACTAAAGGCTTAACTTTTACTTTGGTGGAGTGTAAATGCTGGATATTATCCATCTTTGTATCCAAGGGTACCTGGGGTACAGTAACTGCTAGAGTAGAAACTCAGTAAGTACTGTTGGATGAATTAAGAAATTTCTTCAAATTGATACATTTTGAAAAATGTGGTGGCCCCTATTAGGGAAGTCTGATGCTGATTGAGCTACAATGGAAGAAGACCATATTGACCTACTTTACCTAATCTTTTGTCTCCTAGATCACTAAAGAAAGGGCCATAAACATTTTCATTTACCTACTCCTGTTGCATAATCTTCATTCACTGACTCTATCTACCTCTCATCATCCAGTTCTAGATGATCATACCCAACACCATAGCCCTCTCCCCTAACCTCACAGCTCCATATACTTGGCCCATTGAACTCCAGGCCTTTCCCTCTCTACCTTGCACAAAATCTATTCTTTGCCTGTAAATCTTGTGTGTTTCTCCAGATCTCTCAGTTCACCTGTGTAATCCGTGGCTTTGAGTAGCATATCTGTTGAACTGGATAATCAAGATAAGATTCTGAAGTTTCAGAGGAGGTGTGAACTCAAGACTTCTTCATCATTAATCTATTAAAATCACTCCCTGTTGGGATTGGCAGAAACCCCCTCATGCCCTTATGAAAGACCTGGGGTGTAATGTCATCTTTGCAGTTTGGCATCCTGGGTTTCCTTCAGGACTGAACTCTGAGAACCCAGAGACATGTTCACCACACACATTGTAAACATGCACACAGATTGTATCAAGCATTGTCCCACACCGGCCTGAAACCTCAATAAACATTGAGTTATGGGTAGATCAGATCTCCCTAAAATGGACTAAGAGAATACCATTAGCAAAAGCCTTACTGGCCTCTTTTCCATAGATAACAACAATAATAATATATACAGATAACAAGAGTAATAACATTCAGATTGTGATGCAAGTCAGGTACACAGATGTTTGTGCCAAAAGCCTGAGAGTTGGCGGGGGTGTGGTAGCTTGGGTGAGAGGTGGACGGGAAGTGAGAATCGTACTCCTTTTCTTCCCTCCAATACGTGACTCATGCCAAGAGTGTCAGTTCCCTCAAGATCTTCTATCACCTCTGTCAGCCCCTCCTTTGGCTTACTCCTCTTGCTGTACACAACCCAATATCCGCATGCCTTATTCTGCCCATATTCTTTTTTCCCCCCTACAGGTTTTCTTCTACTCCTTTCCTACCTTCCTATAATCCCTAACAGCTTGGTCAGAATCAAGCCTCAAAATTCCCTAAACTGGTGACAACTCCACATTAAAGATCACTGTAGTAGCATGTTGTCTTGTTCTGGCCCCTGGCCTGTACGTACGTACCATAACTCAGACTCACACTACCCTCTCACATGCCCATTATCTGTGCCCTAGAGGTACCAATCAGTGTTTAGGTTTCTAATAACTTGGCCTCTCCCCTCATTCCTATCTTGGACCTGGATAATACCCAGTCAGCCCCTTGGGAATATTCTATTGGGTTGACCAAGCTCCGGAAAAAAGGAATCAGGTCCAAGATGGTTCATCTCTGAAATAGACCCAAGTGTGTAAAACCTAAGATCAGTGATGGGACATTTAGCTGAAAAGAATTTTCTTCCAAATTCTAGTGAGAATTCTATAGAGCTGGTATAGGAAAAGCTGAGAATGGTTAATTCAATTTTTTTTTTTTTTACCTTTCTTTGAAACCCTTTCCACTCCTGGTCAGGACTTCTTACCTGTGCACATGACAGCAGCAAAGACCCAGCACTGTCCATAGCGCACTGGCTGGCAACCTGAGGCGTGCCACTGTTTCAGAATGGCCACGCTGCCAGTCCACTCTGCAGGGTTCATGCCATCTGAGTAATTCTCACTCCAATTTCCATTGAGCACGCCATTGTCATCGTTGCTGTTAATCTGAAGAAAAATCACATGTAGCTGCATTAGAAGCATCCCTTTTCTTGCAGAGGATTATTTGGAAGGTCCCATGGGCCCAAGATAAACAGGAGACTTTTGACCAAGGGGCTGACTGTTCAGACAAGTGTTCCACTATTACCTTATGATTTGTTTTCCATCCACTACCAACACTTCCTACCCTCAAGCTGGAGCTTGTCTCTAAGAGGTTTTAAAAATATTTCAAAACAAAGGAAATCTAGAAGCAACCAAACCATTTCCCTAATTGGAGCTAAACTCAGCCTTATGTAATTTGTAATTCATAAAGGTCCAGGTAGTTCAGAGTTCTGTTGAGAAATATTGTTATATACACATTCTGTGTTCATCATCTCATGACAAATGGCTTTGCTAGAGGATCTCCTGTGTCCTGACTCTTTAAACTCCCAAATTTCAGGGGGTAATTGTGTGTGGGCAGGTCTGCCTGGGCAGCTTCCTCCCTCCCTGGACACGCTGGGACCTTACCATGGCGCTCACCACTCTGCTGATGTAGACGGGGCTTCCTCGCAGGGCACAGTCTATGGCTGAGTCAACCTGGAAGTTCAAGCTCTTGTCTAGAAGCTTCAGGCAGATGTCTATGATATTCTCTTCAAACTTCAAAGGGAGATGCAGAGAGGTGAGGCATTCATGCCTGGCACATTAATGTCTCTAAGGAAATACGTGAGCCACCTCGGCTACCTTGCCCAATAATGAAGTAGATTTATAGAATTTTGATCCATTTGAAAGATAAATGTGCCAGACAAACAGTCATTGACTGCACCTCAGGCACATACAGGACTTGAAAACTCTGGGGCCATGACTTAATTGGTTTGTGATCTTTTTGTTTCAAGCTTCTACGTCTGTTGGTTTTGCTTATGTGCTTGTTTGTTTTGTTTTGCCAACAATTTTGTTTCTTGAAAAGTTTCAAAGCGGGAAAGTTTATTTCTCAATCACCTCTACTCAATTTCCACACTTCTAAAGCCCCTGGAGTATTCTTGGTAAAACCACATTGCCTCACCTTCCACCTCCACCTGCTGACCCAGCTCGTGATTGGCAACTACTGCTGAACTGATGGCACTGCTTGCCAAAGCACCCATGATTCAGTGGGACTCTGGACTGACTAATTGTTCATGAGTTATGGAAGCTTCCCACCCAGAGGAGGCTGTCTCCTCCTTGTCTTCCAGGCTTGGCATGAGTGCCACTTCCACTGAGGCCTTGCCTGAGCATTTTTTTTAATCATTATATATGCATTGTTTGATAAGCAACCTATTTATGCCTGAGTCCTCCTTATACTGTGGAGTCAGTGACAGTGTTGTAGTAATTTTTGTATCTCTAGCCTTGTTCAGTGATACAGTGTCTGTCTGTTCCCTCCACTCATCAGATTCAGTTAGTGATGTAGTTGAAGTCTGTCTTTTCTGCCTTAGTGGATACTGTGCTGCTTTCCAGGTCTTTTGATAGTCCTAGATCCCAGGCCTAGTACAGTGCCCAACACATAGCAGAAACTCAATCTTTGTTGAATGAGTATGAATGAATTAACTTATTCTCATGTCTCTGGACAGTAAAAAGAGTTTGGAGACTCCTCTAATGCATCTTCCCCAAGGGCCAGCCTGACCAATTTACTCTCTACATTAAAATGTACAAAGGTTCCATATGTTCTACAAAGCCAAAACTCCAACTTCCTTACAAAGCACAACAGACCCTCCCTGATCTAACCACCACGTACCTCTCTAGCCTCATGTCTCAGTAGCCCCGGCCTTCAGCAATACCAGAGTCCTTGTACCAGTGACAGGTCATATAATTGCTCACCTTTGTGTCTTTACTCAAACTTTCTTTCAGTCTTGAATACTCTTCCTTCCTCTCTTTATTTGGCTAACTCAGTAAATTATCTCCTCTCCCAGAAGTGTCCTCTGATGCCTCTATGCCGAGCTAAGTGTCCTTTTCCTAGGCTCCCCAAACTTCTTATATCCTTCTTTGAATCTTTATATATGCAATTGTTTGATAAGTAACCTCTTTGTGTCTGAGTCCCCCTTATACTGTGGAATCAGAGACAGTGTGTTTTAGTAATTTTTGTATCTCTAGTATGCAGTACCCTGCAGGCACTGAGCGAGCATTCATGTATGCATTTACTGGGTGTGTGTGTGTGTGTGTGTGCGTGTGCGCGTGTGTGTGTGTGTGTGTGTGTGTGTGTGTGAGAGAGAGAGAGAGAGACGGAGAGAGAGGGAGAGAGGGAGAGGGAGAAGGAGAAAGAGAAAGAGAAAAAATGAGCGACCTATGCTCAGAAAGCAGCAGCTGCTCACTTTTGTATCTCACAGATGACAGCAAATTCCTGTCCTGGCTTCTCTTTAACCTCCAATCTGTCTATGATGAATGAATAGTTAGGATGTCAGCTGAGGACAGTAGAAGCTGCCATGTCTTATCTTAGCTGAGCCTAAAGATCACATATATCAAAGTTCTGTCAGATTAAGTCCAGGAGGGGAATCCATAACAAGCTGATAAAAGGTTCTACAAAGACCCCTGGGACATCTCAGTTGGTCTTTTCCCTCATAATCTGGTGCCAGGGCCTAGTCCAGAGCATGCTTCCCCTGCTTGGGCACAGGACTTCCAGATCATCTGCTATGGACCAAGCTTTAAATGAAAGACAGAGATTTACAAAGTCTGAAATTATAAAGTATTAAATGTGTTATTTTTACAAACGAGGTGGTATGTTTTAAAATATATTAGAAAATACAATATAGCAAAACACACACTAAGTCAGTGACAGTGCTTAAGGCAATTTCCTGTTCTAGGTTCCATTTTTGTCACATTTCTTCCAAGAGTGTTTTAAACAGCCACATATTGCCTTTATAATGAAAAGGGCATAAATCAAAACAAACAGATAAAAAGACAACAGTAATTGGGAGGGAAACACAATGCTACTACTCATCAGCTCAGTTTTTCTGAGATGCTCAGAGGTCAAGTGACAAGATGAATATGAGGTGCTGTTCCCTAGGATTGTGAGTGTGAGGAGAGACTAGAAAATAGGATGCCCCTGGAAATGCAGTAAACAAGTAAAAATATCCGATACCCTCACTGTCGTTGTCATCAATATCTCTTTCTTCTTTACCTGAATACTCAGTAGGTTTGTGGTGGGGTATTTTGCCATCCTTCCCCCATAGAGCGTGTTGTCTGACTCAGACATGGTTCACAAAGAACTTCCTATGGATGCTTCTTAGCTCATGTGGTTGCATATCATCATATCTTTCTGGTTCAATTTAGTAACCACTCTTCAGCAGTTCTTGGTGAACCTCAAGTAAGGGGCACATTTCTACCACCCTGCTCCCACTTTCTCATGCCTCTGAGCCCAGGACATGCATAGATCATTAATGGTACTGTGAGTCACCTGTCCGTAGTTCCAGGGACAAGGGCGGATCCAGTTCTTGTTCCCTTGGTAGATGAATCCATAATCATTCATGACATACTCCTGCCTCTGAGGCTCACTGTCCAAATAGACTGCATCTCCTAGGAAACAAGGGAGGAAAGGTATCTTGTCCTTCCTGCACCATTGCCATTCTCAGAAGGTACCACTAAAAACAGACACTGAGTTCTGGAGAGAGCGCTAGATAACAAGGGGAACATAGTGATGAGGCAGGTGTGGATTATGACTCTCACCAATCCCTAACATAAGTGTAGATTCTCCTCGCTTGGAGTCCACGAGAGAGAGAGAGAGAGAGAGAGAGAGAGAGAGAGAGTCAGACATACAGACAGAAAGAGAACAGTTGATTTGCTTTCACCTAGATGGTGAGTGAGAATTCTGAGCCATTGGTGCTGAGAGTGTCAGCCAGGTTTTTAACAGGCTGCCTTAGGATAAAATTGGAGGAAAAGGTAGAGTCAAAATGGATGGGAAGGGGAGAATTCTTAGTCAGGTCAGAGACTTTTAATGACTCTGAAATTCTTTCCACTCTCATCCCCACCCCCTTCTCCGACTTTTCTTTTCACCTTCCCTTCCTGGTTTGTGCTTCATCAATGTCTTTATGTTCTTATGTCTGACTGTGTATACACACACACACACATACACACACGATTTAGAGGACAAACCTGGGGGTACCTAGGATTATAAAAACAGATAAACTAAATGGATAAAGCTGAGGATCTACTCCTGATACCCTACAATAGACAATTTAGGGAAAGGAGAGAAATGGACCTTTAAGCCTTGTTATCGCACATCTCTTCAAAGCCTTATTTACCTCATCTGTAAAATGGGATATTTCTACTACTGTAGTTATTTGGAACAATTAAATGAGTTCCCATATGTGCACATGATTAGTATATCATCTGATTCAGAGTAGATAATCAATAACTATTGTTTTTAATCTTGCTCTCCTTTCTTACCTGCCACGTAAACTAGAGTCCACAAATAATTTATAATACACTGATTAAAGCACAGACAGCTAAGCACTTGGCAGCCAACCAGAAGACTTCTGGTTCAGTCCCACCCTGTGACTCCACGGAAGGAAGCCTGGTGTCTGGCTCCCGTGAAGGTTATATCCAAGAAATAAACCTAGGGGACCGTCCTTCTCTCCAAATGGAGTCACCATACACATCACTTGATCTGATAGCACCTAAGAATATCAAAATATATGTTGCAGACGTTCTCATTTTCTGTAAGAAGTGATACAAATCGGATTTTTTAAAAAAACTTGTGGTGATATCTATAAAAATTTATATTTGAACTTGCAATTTTACTTTTAAAAATATACCCCATAATTATATTCTCAGAATTGTCAAAAGACAAATTCTGTGATATTCACTGCAACTTTATTTTTAAAAAGCAGAGAAATTAAAATATTTTTAAAAGCAAAGAAATAAAGACAAACTAGACACAGCCTGTCATAGTTGTTATTGGTGTGTGCCATCGAGTAGGAACAGACCCATAGCTGACCCTCCAGCAGGTTTTCAGAAGCAGTAAATTGCATGGAGATATTTCCCATATTTCTCCCACAGACATGCCCATAAGTAGAGAACTAGTTCAATACATTGGTGTGGCCATCTGATGGAATAATTGTAACTTATTTAAAAGAATTCTTAAAAGAGAATTTGCCCCAAATAGAATTGTTAAATGGGAAAAAGGAAGTCATTCCTCAGCACACATGGGGGACTGGTTCAGAACACCCACACACAGTGCTACTCCCATCTCTCCACTGTTCCCACATACCTCAGACACAAAAATCTACATATGCATAAGTATCTTACGTAAAATTGTATAGTACTTGCATATAACCTACTCATATGCTTTAAATTATCCTATTGTTGTTGTTATGTGCCATTGAGTTGCAATGAACTCTAGCTTCAGCCCAGGAGGAGATTGTCCATCTTTCTCCCAGGGAACAGCTGGTGGATTTAAATAGCCTGCCTGTGGGCTGGAAGTGCAAGTCTTTACCACTAGGCCTCCAGAGCTCCCTAATCTTTAAATTACTTAAAATAACTAATAGAATAAAAATTATATATATATATATATATATATATAATTTAGATAGATAGATAGATAGATAGATAGATAGATAGATGGATGATAGATAGATAGATACACACACACATATAGCACTTTATGCTCCTTCTTAACTTCAGAGGATAGCTTTGACCACTTAATTGCTCTTTTGGAGCCATTTTTTCAGGAATAAAAGGTACACACAACACAAGTAACGAATGAGAAGCTATGAGAGCAATGCTCAAACAGTGAATGCTGGAGAGAGATTGAGGATCTGGAAATGGTGGAGGTTATAGAGGATAAGCCTACATATCACCTCATCTCACATGCAGTCGTCCCAGGACTTGGCACTGCCAAACTAGCTTTGGTTTTGGGAAATTTCTGATGGTTTTTTTCCCCCAATAGTTTTGATCCAAGGCAGTTGAATCCCAAGGATGTAGAACTTGTAGATGCAGATGGTTGACTGTGTTTAGAATCTCATATGAGGCATTTGATTAGGTATGGAAAAACTTTGTTAAGTTTACTTCAGAAAATGTTACTAGGATTTCCTCTAGGCCTGATAGGCAGAAGGTTTTATATTTTACCTTTAACTTTTCCATTTTAGGAGCTCTGGTGGCTTAATGGTAAGGAGTTGTGCTGCCAACTCAAAGACATGCCATTTTAATCCATTTATTGCTCTGAGGAAGAAATAGACAATCTCCTACTGTATGATTTATAGCCTCTGAAAACCCAGTGGAGGGTTAGTGATGAGTTGGTTCCAGCTTGAGAGCACATAACAACAGTCTTCAATTTTGCCTTTTATTCACTTAAGTCATTCAATAAATATTCAATGTGACATATTGTGTATGTATCATTTTCACAATGGAAAAAAAC